CGTCACGCAACCCCATCATTTCACCAACAAAGAGAAGTTATCAGAAAACTAATAAGAAATAAGCAGCACGATCACTAAACGAACATGATAAAAGTTTGTTTGCATGCTTTGTTAAAGATTTTAATCCAAAAGTATTGATGTTTTACAATAAGTGATACATTGATCATAATGAATTAATTTATCAGGATTGAAAATTAGTCACAGAAATAAAGCGGTATGAACAGCCTACCTACTTATTCAGTCGAGTCTGTTTATTTTTAGTCACAGAATATGAAGTGAAGTGACATGTGGCCAAGTATGGTTACCCATACTAGGAATTAGTGCTCTGCATTTACCCATCCTAAGTGCGCGCACACACACAGCAGTGAACACACGTACACCGTGAACACACACCCGGAGCAGTGGGCAGCCATTTATGTTGTGGCGCCCAGGGAGCAGTTGGGGGTTCGGTGCCTTGCTCAAGGGCACCTCAGTCGTGGTACTGAAGGTGGAAGAGAGCGCTGGTTATTCACTCCCCCCACCAACAATTCCTGCCGGACCGGAGACTCGAACTTGCAACCTTTGCGTTACGAGTCCAACTCTCTAACCATGTACATCACATTTAGAAAGAATTATCATTTTTATACTTTTATTTTAAAAAAATGAATAAAAAAACTATCATATTTTTATGACATACGAGCTAAACTCTCGTGACGAGAATTATGACAGATAAAATATGTTACTAAATAAATACACGATTGTGATAGAGAATAAGAAGCTGACATCTGATTTCTTCATATTTACCATGTTTACTATGGTAGCCTAACATTAATGGCTAGCGTGCATAGTCTTTTGCATCGCTTATAAATATTTCTGTCTTGTATGGTGATCCACATCGGATCAAGTTATTTCAAACACTCGCTGCTGTCTGAAAGTGAGTTTTGAACTCCAATTATTTTAAAAGTCTTTAATGCTGGTGGCACATTGTAGATTCACAAGTTAACTTTATGAAAGGATCCGCAGCGCTGACGCTCTCCAGATGCGTAGAAACTCTGCCTTTGTTCATAACTAGTCCTCTTGCCCCAGCTGGCCCGCTTTGGTCCAAGGTTTTCGTCGGGCCAAAAAACCTGGCACGCACTAGCACGCCCACTTTTGGCCCGACAGTGGAAACGCGGCTATTGCGTCACATTTGCAGTCTGTCTAGTGTCAGTGCTCATATACTGTATTTATTACAGTGGAATCCCCAATGAAACTGTTCTCATTTACGTTTTTTTCTGAACAAATATGAAATCGTGACAGAAACATGACTGTACAGACTGTACATGTTAACCAGCGGTCACTTTTAAACTATTTAGAAGCTGCTGCTCTACACTTCTAAAATATCCTGGTTTACAACCATGTCATCATGTGACAAAATCAGCATACACATAAGTTAAAGACAATGGCTGTACTGTGATTTTGGCTGTATTTACACGTAAAATGATCATCCAGAAAGAACTTTAGAGAGAGAGTGGTGTGCCTGTACCAGAAAAGCAAAACTTTGACTCTCAGAAAGTAGCTATGGTTCAAAAAGTTGCTAAATTTGTCACTAGTTGTCTGAAAAGTCGCTTAAGCCCAAAGTATACTGAGACAGTCCGCACTCCATGCGTCTGATTGGCCATTGTGTTCACACGCACAACCAACACGTTTGTCACTGTACACAGAGCGCTGTCACACAAATACAAGAGCGTTTGAAAGCAGCTGTCTATGCTTGTGTGCATACAGTTCATGCTAATTATACTTAATATCAGTGCATGTGTCCACACTGCATATTTAATGCAACCTACATGCTGAGGTTCAATTATATATATATTATATATATACGTGTGTATATATATATATATATATATATATATATTATGGCTGGGTTTTGACAAAATTTCACGATTCGATTCGAATCTCATTCACAAGCTTGCAATTCAATTCCATTCCCAATTCGATTAGTTCTACATTAGTAGTTTCTACATTACTATATTGAAGGTTAAAACTGACAGATTTTTTAGGCTATACAACTGCTTAAATTAAATAATGAGGTTTTTATAATGAAAGTTACAATTACATAATATTTCTACTTCAATTAGTTTTTTTTTTTTAAATATAAACATTTAAATGGTGGCTGTCATAAAAAATATATAAATTAAACACTGAAGAACAGTAAAAGTTATAATATTATATGGTACATAGATTTAGCAAAATGCCCCTCTATACAGTTTATTTTTCTAGCTGACTAACAAGATTATGGTCTCCGAAGATGTTTTTTTCTGAGGTAAATGTGACATAACATGACATTGTTTACAAGCCGTTATATTGCGTTATATATATACTTCTTTGCAGGGCTGAAACACTGATTGAGCGATTACATAAGACAGGATACGGATTGTAAAGTTGTACTCTTTCTTTTAACTTACCTTCGGATGTTTAGTCATGTTTATTTTGTGCTGAAACTGGTATTAATGTGGAGGAGATGGTCAGTCTGATGATCTGAGGCGCTACAGCGATCTGTCACTCCACAATAAACAGCGCCAAAACGGCATTTATTGTTTGAATACTGCAATACAATGGACATAAATTGAAATCTGATACTTTTTTCATATTAAATGTACCAAAGAACAATGCTTATTGCGATTTATTGGATGGGAGGTGCCCGTCCATTAACTAACTAAACAGGCTAGACTAATCGATTCTTGGGATTTAAGAATCGATATCGTTTCGTAAAAATGAGAATCGATTAAAATCAATATTTTTTATCGATATTTTTTACCCAGGCCTAATCTATACTGTATGTTTACTTTTCACAACAGTGTTTTTTTAGGCTCCTTAATCTCTGTTTAACTAATGGCTGAGAAGATGTCCTGGTAGCCCCAGTGTTTGCTTTGGGTGGTCCTTCTATAGCTAAGTTGTCTGTCAGAAGATTGGAGCTGAGCTTACCTATTCCTCTTGCTCTCTCTCTCTCCTGACACAATAAACGGACTTTGAAGCTACTGAAGCACATGGTCTCTAGAGTGGCCGTGCTGTAATTAGTAAACCAAACTGCAGAAGCAATCTGCTCGTTCCTTGTGAGATCCCATTTTCTCTTGCTGTTCTTCTGGCTGAGTCAATGACTCATTTCACATAAACACCACCTCACACACTCTTTGCAATGTAATGTGCTCTCTGTCTCGGTATATTGTCAATAGGACGCAAGTTAACATACATGTTGGGAAAAGGTGCTGAGTTTATATATTTTTGGAGCAGCAGGTGCATGTGCTCTGTTCAATTTGGAGTCTGGCTTGCTGGTTTAAAGCCAGAAAAGGGCTTTGGTGTTGTTTTTGTCTCCTGTGGTCACAGATCTGTCCCTGACAGCTGTTTCACTTGTTCGCAGCTCTCTGAGAGCTGAAACCGAGATGCTGCAGCCTTTATTTTGAGACTTTCACTGTAAGCAATATCGCTGTTGGTATTGATGTACCACCTTAATAAGAATTTGGCTGGAAACCTTACTACTGTAAATGCTGACAGAGATGGACACATGAGATGTAACCCTTCAAATCATCATTGTCATCAGTATTATTTTGAAAACCGATCACAATGTTTAAGAAGATGTGATGCAGCTATGTCTGTAGGGTGTAGGTCCAGCATAAATTATGTAATACTTGCACACATATATTATATGGACCAGTTATGTCACAATGAATCTGTGCGTATCATGTTCCAAGTTGTTTCTCCACAACAGCTAGAAAAAGCTTTCAAATATGTTTTCCTAAAATGCACTAACAGCAGTGGAGGAATAAAGGGCTTTTATTTTTAGTGTAGATCCACTAAAAATGCCATTTTCCCTTCATCCGTTTGTACAATACAGCATACATGTTACATTTTTGAGAAATTGCATGACATTTAATAGAATTCAGAGCTTAAAACATTTGTACATGATTGTTGTGTTCTTCTTGATATGTTTAATTTTCCCCTGCAGTGCAGTAGTTTCTTGTCTATAAATGGAGATGTTTCTGTTTATGTTGTATGAGGTTTATTCTTGCACATTAATTTTCATGAGTCGTATTTAATACAGTTGTTAGTTAATTTTTTTTAGTAATTTATATATATATATATATATATATATTATCAATATTTTTATGTGAGGATCGAGTCTCTTAATACAATGTCAGTATCGCAAGTGTACACCACGTCTTAGTTTACTGACATGCAATTTTGCTGACATTATAAATAAATATATGAAGAAAATTATATATTTTTATAAAAAAACAAAACAACTAAAAATAACAACCAAAGTAGTGATATGAAATGCAACTGGAACTAAATGGAAATGTTTTAATAAGTTTATTATGTTTATTTATATATATTAATATTTTATTTATATGATTCTCACGTTGCACTATTACAGTAGCTGTACTGTAATGTCTATTGTCAGTTGGCTTTGGAGCATGTGAGTGACAGCAATACTGGTGTGGATACATAGTGACATAGTGACGTGACATACTCAGAATTAGTGCTCTGCATTTACCGATCCAAAGTGCACACACACAGCAGTGAACACACACACACCATGAACACACACCCGGAGCAGTGGGCAGCCATTTATGCTGCGGCGCCCGGGGAGCAATTGGGGGTTCGGTCGTGGTATTGAAGGTGGGAGAGAGCGCTGTAGACCTTTAGAATAATTTTGTCAGTATGAAAACTAAAAGTACAAAATGTATATTATATTTAATCTATACACTGTAAAAAAAAACTCCAATAATCTGTTTTATTGTCATGTTTTACAACAAATCTCTGTTTCAGTCTTTCTACTTAAAATGTTTTGATTAATTCAGTGTGTTACTTTTTGTTCCTTTATAATAGTGAAATTTTCTAGCAATTTCTGAAGGAAAATTTAAGATAGTAAATCCTATACCATTTTTTTTCTGTGTACTTTCTCTATTGTTTTCCTAAGCATTTGATGGATTGCTTGACATTGGTATTTATTGTAATTATTTTAAATGTGTCTCCTGCAGAGTGTGGATACAGTGTGCTCGCTGTACCACTCCTTCCAGGGCGGCTCTGGTCTGATGGAGGGCCAGGAGGAGCAAAGAGGGCCAGAGGCCCCCATGCTCAGGCCCTGTCCACGTCATATGTCTGCCGCAGAGAGACTACGCAAGGTCATCCAGGAATTAGTGAACACAGAGAAATCCTATGTGAAGGTGAGAACTGACTCTGTTATGCCCTATTAACATAGTTCAACAGAAAGAAATGAGCTCTCACATGAGTACAGATCCATGCAGTCATCTATACGGATACTCTGACTTGATTAAAACTCAACTGTTTCACCTATTTATTCAGCTCTATGCTAATCTGGAAGTCACATCAGTTCAGTTCTAAACCTCAGTTTAATGAATGACCCATGAGGTGTAAATGGCTGTTTTAGCAGAACACGTTTGATGGATAGCTGGAAGAGTCTTCAGTGATTGACCTATTAATTAACTCCTCTAGCTGGTGAAAAGAAATGCCTCCTCTCTCATCTGTTTCCTGAATAATCCTGAGGCTTGCATATGATCGCTTATGTAGTGCCAGTTTTACCATGCTGATGTTCGTGGTGGACCTTTAGATGGCATTAAAACTGTTATGGGAATGTGCTCCTCGTGGTTAATAGGCGTCAGCATGGGCGACATTTGACTCTTGAGTTGGGGGGGGCAAGAAGAAAAAAATATTATATATATATACAGTGGGGCAAAAAAGTATTTAGTCAGCCACCAATTGAAGCAAAATATTTTTTTTCTGATGTAAGCATTAAAACAATGCCCTACCATATTGCAACGCATCAAAGCAGTCAATCCAACACAGTCAAGAATAATTAAAGAGGTTGTCACCGTTTAGTAAACTGTGGAGCTTTGGCTCTTCCTGCTGACTTGAATGGTGATGCTTCCCGTTTGTCAGTTGATGGCAAACGGGAAGCATTCATTTTTAACCAGAAATGTGCACGCTGCTTTTCTGATGTTCACTGAAGTTTTCCGTGTTTTTTTCCCGATTCACTTGAAATGTTTCTGTTTTGAATCGTTGTTACCAAAGGCGAGACACGTGAGGAGAAAAAATAAACTATCAGTTGTGAGACTATATTCTGTCATAAATCACATATCATTCATTGCTGAACTTTCTACCTTCCGTTATGGGAAATGAAATGAAATTACTGGTTGATATGCCCTGATCTCAATAAAGTTTACACACGCTTTTGGTCCGTGAATTAGATCTCGCTCTGGATGCGCGCTGTTTGGCCAGGACCGGTTCCAGAATTAAATCAACATATTTTATGTTCCGTCCATTGCCAATCACTGCTATTTTCGAGAGTGAATACCGCATAAATATGCGGATGCCATTCCCGAAACTTTGCAAGGTGTAGCCTGTGTCTGAAAAATGAAAGTTTCATACAAATTCTGAATGGATTATACCCTAGAAAGTTCCCTTTATCACTAAAAAGAGTCACTCATCTTCGTTCATCACGATTTTACACAGTTCTGTTATATGAAGCTCTCTAAACTGCAAACTGAATCTCTTAATTACATCGTGTCTGCACTTAGTCATGAGATGATTCACGAGCGTGCAAAACTGCACTTAAAAACTATGGCGCTTTCAGCAGTGAGTGAATTCTGACAAAACGTTTCTGATTGGCCAAGAAATCAACAGATATGTCTGTGATTTTTTACATTGCTCAACTCTGCAAAAACATGTTGAGGGTATTTAGCGCTTGGCTAAGCGCTCCAATTGCAGCGGGGCCGAGATCAGGGATTTCATGACTAATAATTTGGGGTGGGAATTGCCTGTGTCATCCATGGGCGTCAGGGAGGTGTCTGATTATTCCATTTGTGGGAGGGGGGAACAGTGCCATCCCAGAGTCCTGTGCTGGAGCCATTTGTCTGTGATATGCTGCATCGGCACTGGCAGACCGTTATAAATCAGCCTAATGAGAATATTCAGGTTGATGCACAAACAGTTCCCAAAACTGCACTATGTGCTGTGGCCATGGTATGGCATCAGTGTCTACTTGTGCATCAACCTGAATATTCTCTCAAACGGCTTTGTCGGTTTAGACTTATCTTCAACAGGAATTTCCCTGATTAATGGCTTCGCTTTACACCTTCACATTTATTTACAAAATAATTAGTGATGCACCGAAATTTCGGCAACCGAAAATATGAAAATTAATTTTGGAGAGGCAAAATCATTGAACCGAAACAGTGACGGTGACATTTCAGACTGCCGCCTTCTCTGATGGCGCATTCAGACTCTGTCAGTGTCTATTTCGTGCCCACAGGGTTAAGCTACAACAGGTAAAAATTACAGCTGTGTGGACACTAGCTGGACCAACAATATCTATTTATTTTGATGAACAAGGGATCTTTTAGTCTATGCTGTTCATGTGTGTTCAAGCAGCATGTGAACTGATCATCTCTTCCTCTTTATTGATAATTAAAGCGTGAAGTAAACATGAATGAACATCAGCAGGAAACCCTACAACTTTTTGAAATGTATCACGTCTGATGTAATCACTCATTCAGTATTTGTACCATGGAAAGACATCAATAAAACAGCCTGTAAACAATGTCAATGTCAAAGGAATGCCATACAATGTCCATATATTTTGTTAGTAATTATATCATTAAAAAGTTTACATAGAGACTGCCTTATGTGCAATTAAAAGTTTATATGCAACTTTTTATTTGAGTGTTGATTATTAAATTATTGTGATTAATTGATTATTAAATAAACTTTATTCGGTTTCAGATTTTGGCTAAATGAAAGCTTATTTTCATTTTCGGTGTTTCAATAAAAAAAAAATTCTGTGCATCACTAACAATTTGACTGTCTTAGGTAGGGGTTGGAGTCATTACACACTCAATTTAGAGAATCATAAAAGAGTTACAAAATTTCACAATGTCAGAACTTAATACTTGAAGGAGAAAGTAGGGGTGAAAAAAAATTTTTTATACACCTTTTACATGTAAATTGAAACAAGTGACCTTGTTTCATTTTTTGCTCTGATTAGGCCATGCAAGGACATTCACCTTTTTCTCCTTCAACCACTGTGTGCTCAGATTTGCTGTGTGCTTTGGGTCATTGTCATGTTGGAAGGTAAACCCCATCCATTTTTCCTTCTATCCTGACAAGTGCTCCAGTCCCTGCTGCAGAGAAACATCCCCATAACAGGATATTACCACCTCCATGCTTTACTGCAGGAATGCTGTTATCTGGATGATGAGCTGTATTGGATTTCCGCCAGAAATATAATTTGGTGCTGAGGCCAAATAATTAAATTTTAGTCTCATCTGCCTCAGAATCTTCAAGGTGCATTTTGGCAAAGCTCAGTCGTGACTGCATGTGGCCTTTCTTGAGGAGTGGCTTTTTTCTTGCAACCCTCCCATACAAGCCGCATTTGTGGAGAAATTGTGATATTGTTTTCACATGCACACAATGACCACTCTTTGTCATAAATTCCTGCAACTGCTTCAGAGTTGCTGTAGGCCTCTCTGACCAGTTTCCTCCTGGCTCTTGCATCCAGTTTGGAGCGACGTCCTGATGCAGGGGAGGGTCTGTGTTGTACCAAAGTTGTACCAAATACATTCCACTTCTTAATAATAGATTTCACTGTGCTTATAGGAATTGATAAAGCCTTTGAAAAATGTTTGTATCCATCTACTGACTTGTGCCTATCCACAACTTTTTTCTGGAGATCTTTTGCCAGTGCTTTGCCACCCATAGTTGATTGTTTGCTTCAGTTGCACTACCAATGACTGAAATGCTCCAGGAAAGCTCTTTTCATGCTGAGCTGATCACAGTTGAAAGTCAAACTGCTTTGTGTGCCATTGAGAAGGTGATTAGCTACACCTGAGTTTAAGTCATTTTTAGGAGGGGGTGATCCTTTTTCCAAATCAGTGATTCTGGTTTTTATTCTTTTAATTTTTTTCTGACATGTTGGTGTTCTATCTTTCATTTGGATGTTATAAGTTGCACTGAGTAAATACAGCTGGATAAAACAAAAACCGTCCGTCTTCATTTCAGGCTGAAAAGCAACAAAATGTGATTATTTTAAAGGGGGGTGATTATTTTCTATACCCACTGTATATTAATTAGTGCAGGTACAACCTCTATGCAAGGACAGCTTTAGTCTTGTTCCTGATGTTTTAATTTAGTGTTTTACATTTTTAATTACCTTACTGTTTTTGTTTTTCAGATCTTGTATAAGGATAAAGTATTACCCCCAAAAAAGGTTTTATATAGTGAAATAATTCTGGAGATGTGAAAAGCTAATTCTAACAGAGCTCATGGTGTAATATTGTGTTCTGTTTCTTTTATACAGGATCTTAACTGCCTGTTTGAAATTTACCTGAAGCCCCTGCAAAAGGAGACCTTTCTCACCCAAGACGAGGTAAAGTCAAACCCCATACTGGAGCTTGTTTCAAGGTGTCAGTGTTGGATTGAGTTGTCACAGATTGCACAGTCATTCATTGCAGTGATGCATCTTGGCTCATTTGCCACAAGCTTGCATGTCCCCACTAACGTGACTGATGCTAAAGACTTGCACATTCAACTAGCCAGTTTTCAGACTGCTGCCTGATGAACTGGATATGACCCTGACAAGACTCAGGATGTCCCTGAGGAAAGATCAGTCAATATGTGCTGAGAAGTGTACTCTCATATTAAATCCCCGTTAATGGACACTTTAGCATGCCCTTGCCCAAATTAGACGAGGACTAAACATAAAATGGCTATAACGCTGCTTCTTAAGTTACTAGTGACAATGTGAGTGGCAATAAAAATTTAGCCAGGGGTCTGCGATAGAAGAAGCTAGCACAACTGATATAAAATCTGCAGATTTCATTCAGATAATAAAGTTGTAGCTTGCATGCTTTTTTTTGTTTGTTTTTCATAAATTCTTCTTCTTTTTGTTTTTTTGAAAGTTCTGTTTAATGGTTGTGGGTTTTCTTTGCCTAGATGGAAAGTCTATTTGGTAGCCTTCCAGAGATGCTGGACTTCCAGAAAGTTTTCCTGCAAACCCTGGAGGAGAAGATTAATTCCTTCCCCAACATCAACACACTTGAGACCCCTGTACAATTCAAGGTGGACATGCCAAATGCATTAATTTCTTCATTAATACTCTCATTTGTAATATATAAGACATACACAGCATTTGAGTAGAGAGCTCTCAGTTTTGAGAATAATTTAGCTTTTTTTCAAGTTTCCCCCCCCCCCCCCAATAAAATCATTTACTCATGTTTTTTCTTCCATAGGATACAAAAGGATAGGTTATGATATGTATGTAATAATGTGCTCCATTTGAAAGCCATTTTTTTATGAGGAACAGAAAAATAACTTCATTGTTAATGGAAATAAAGGTGAAAGAAACTACTTAAACTAATAAGTTGAAGTTGAAGCACTAAAAATAATAAGCTACTAACTAATGAAAATAAAAACTAAAACTGAACTAAAACTAAAACTATCAAAGTAAATTAAACCTAAATAGTAAAAAAAAAAAATAATAATATTTAAAAAGTAATAAAATGGCAAAAGCACATAAAATTACTTCTAATATTAATTCAATAATCTAATGATATTAATAAAAATTATAATATTAATGTAATAATGTGATTATTTACAAACTTGAAAATCTTTTGTTTCACATGCCGCAGTTTGAATATGGGCAAATGTCAATTAGATTTGTGCAGTAAGGTGGAAGGCAAGATTTTCATGTAATAACAGCTTAAAAATTGGTACAACTTGGGGTATAGAACATGAGTCATATGGACTGACTGATTTTTGTCAGTTTTGTATGGTTTTAATATGGTAAAGAGCAGCTTGAGAATATTCGCTGTGAAATATCTTCTTTTGTGTTCCATGGAAGAAAATCAAACAGGTTTGGAATGACATAAAGCGTTGAGTAACTGATTAAAATTTTCATTGATTTCATTGCTGTGTGAACGGTTCCTTAAAGGGAGTCAGACTCAAATTAAAGACTTCAGACTCCTATTAAATTATTTTGTGTCATGCTCACTTCTTCATTCTTGATGCATCATCGCTGTCTTTATTTTCCCTTATCCAGAAGCTGCTCTTCTCATTGGGTGGTTCGTTTTTGTATTACGCAGAGCACTTCAAGCTTTACAGTGGCTTTTGCGCCAACCATATTAAAGTGCAGAAGGTTCTGGAACGAGGTACATCTCAGCACATTACACCTCAATCACATCATCTTTGAGCAATAAAATAATAGATTATTACTATTACATGTTGAATAATTTAGCTAATTTAATGACTCTCATTCTGTATGGGGTACTTCTGAAATGTTTTAGGCAGTCACAACACTAGGACCCGTTGTTGGTTTATCTTTTCATTATATCCTAACGAGTTTTAGTGATTAGCCACTATAAATTTTGAATATAATTTATGTGTGAAACATGAACCTGATTTGTCATCTTGGGCAAACTGCCCAGTAAGAAATGAATGAGGGGCTGCCCTGCCCACATTTAAAGTGGAAAACTGTACCTCGGCCTCCTTTTTAATTCGTCCCATTACTACAAGAGGAAAGCAACCCTCAGAGCAGCCCCAGCACTTTAATGGCTATAAGAAACAACACGCTCTGTTTAACCACTGCGGGGTAAGGACATGGCGCTTGCACTACAGATGAAACAACAGGAGTGTGTGTAGCCGTCTGTCAGCGGTGCTTGTAATTATATATTTCTCACACACTGCTTCTGTTGTGCCAAGGTTTCCGTTTGCAAAGCGAAAATGACTTTTTGTGTCAACTTGTTAATTGCTCCCTGAAGTGTCAATCCATCTGGGGCGAGGGGTGCCTCAATTACTGCTCTAATAGCTCCTCTTGATTTGAACGACAATGCGGGTGATAAATGTATCATTCTGCGTGCTGTAGAGGTGGTGGCAGGTTAACTCTTCTCACAAACTCCTGCCAAAACACTAATTTCATCGAAGGTACGATCTAACTCCTTGATACTCACCTTGGTGGTGTTCATTGTCTGCAGTGTTGCATTTATACTGCAGTGGTTCTAACGAGGTGTCAGAGAGCCTGTGCTGCCTCCTTGTGGATGGATTTTGTGCCCTGTGTGCATTGCCTAAAGCCATTTACCTGCAGCGGCCATAAAAAAAAAAAAGTTATTTCTAGCTCAGTGGGTGGCACTGGCATTTATGTTTTTTCTTTTCTCTTCAGCTAAAACAGATCGATCCTTTAAGGAGTTCCTCGATGCAAGGAATCCAACCAAGCAGCACTCAACCACACTAGAGTCCTACCTAATCAAACCGGTGCAAAGAGTACTGAAATACCCCCTGCTGCTCCGCGAGCTGGTGTCTCTAACGGACACGGACAGTGAGGAACACTACCATCTCACAGGTACATCACACGTACAGACACGCACACAGCAGGTCGAGAGATGTCTGGTTGTGTTTTTGTGGGTGGGTTATTGAGAATTAAAAAAAGAGTTCATACAAGATATTTTCACAAAATCCCAAAGCTGCCCATTTACGTATTATGAAAGCATGTTGTGACCGTGGAAATCGTTCAAAATAACATTTATTGTGTTCTGCAGAAAGGTTTGAATGACAAGGATAAGTAAACGATGAAAAATAAAATTTTTGTGTGATCTAAACACAGGCGTATTACAGAATTATTCCCAATAATTGTACTAAGGTCTGATAAGGTTTTTTCCCCCCCAGCATTCTGACTCCACATACTGTTCACACAGTAATTCTGACTGCAATTTGACAACTATTTTTAGACATCAAATTCCATAATGAATTACCTCAAGACCGTCTTTTTTCTTATTACAGAGGCACTTAAAGAAATGGAAAAAGTTGCAAGCCACATAAATGAAATGCAGAAGCTCTATGAAGACTACGGTGCAGTATTTGACCAGCTGGTAGCAGAGCAGAGTGGCACGGAGAAAGAGGTGCATATACAGTCTGAACGCATCAGGGTAGTCCCCTTATTTAACTGGATATTCAATCATCATCTGTCTCTCTCCTCTGTCTCAGGTCACAGAGATTTCCATGGGACAATTCCTCATTCATTCCTCAGTGATCTGGCTCAACCCGTTCCCATCGCTGGGCCGTATGAAAAAGGATCCTGATTTAAATGTTTTTGGTGAGGCTCTGGTCTTTTTCCATGATTTTTATATAAAGCATATTTCCCATGAAACCTTATTCTTATATTTTCATGTGCCAAAATAAATGTTTTATACCTTAATATATTAAATAAATTATGTAAATATTAAGATTTATGTTGTCATGCAACACGCAGCTGATCTGTGAAAGTATGTTGGGCTTGTTTCAGATATATGGCAGCAGTTCTGCAGCTCCAAAGACAAATAATTATGTCGTTTTCTAAAATTAACATGCTGTATCTGCTTAACTCATAGAATCTCTGATTTGTCTTACTAGTTTTTAAGAGAGCTGTGATACTGTTGTACAGGGAGAACAACAAAGTGAGAAAGAAGATGGTAAGTCTTGTTTTCACTTTTGGTCTAATTACTTAGCAGTTCCTTAATGGGGTCACTTTATTGCATTACATTGTGACAAGTTCAGAAAACAATCCTAAATATAAATATGGGCAGTCATGTGTTAACATTCAACTTCCAAATTTTTGGAACAAAATGTTTTTAGAGATTACTTTTCATAAATGGTGCTTTGACATACATTACATTTACATAATACAGTTTTAATATTTTTAAAATACAAAATAAGTCTTTTTATATCATGCTTTTGTTTGCTAGCCAACTTCAAAATCAGCCCATGGAGAGCAGGATCCATTCAAGATTCGCTGGCTCATTCCCCTGTCAGCACTACAAGTTAAACTGGGAAATGCAGTGGGTAAGAGACTCATCTGGCTTGTTTGAGCTCATAGAGGCAGTAGTAATGAACAGTAATTTCCACATGTACAAATAATAAACCTTTTGTGTTTTCATGCTGTCTGAAGACACAGACTGCATCTGGGAGCTCATCCACACCAAATCACAGAAAGAGGGCAGGCCTGAGATGGTGTTCCAGTTGTGTAGCAGGTTGGAATTGCCTACTTGGCCATTTAAAAACTTAGTGTCCCATTTTATTCCATACGGATTTTAACATTTCACATTTTCTCTCATTTGCAGTACCCCAGAATGCAAAGGGAATATCATCAAGGTGATTCGCTCTATCCTGCGGGAGAACTTGCGTCGAAACATGCAAAGAGTTGAACAACAGCCTGAGAGAACATGTAAAAAGCGACTAACTCCCCTTCGAAAAACTCTGCCAGCTTCTGCTAAGCTAGGTCAGTGTGATCTCCCCTTTACGTACAAGTCTGGGATACAATGGAAGTGGCCAACATTGAGATGCGTCACATTGTGATGCATGGAAGTGTTGAAGCTGCACATTACTTACCACGCAACATTCAGCTATAATCTCGAGACTAGACTTCCAAGGGAAATTCATTGGTTAAAAAACGGTCATAGCAATCCATTCACTCTAAAGTGTCAAAACAAAGTGATTTGAGTTGCTGTGCAGCAAGTTAAGAATAGAAATAGGGTGTATGTCAAGTACCCAGGTGTCTGTCAATGCAGTGTTTCATCAGAGATGCTGTACATCAACAATACATCTTATACAAGATCTTAACATTTATGACTGCGTTCATTTGTGCCCCACAGGTTCTTCCCGAGCCTTTTTGCTCTCCAAGCAGCCTTCAAATGACAGTTCCAACCCCAACAATGATCCTCTGGGGCTGTCTCTACCAGATTCAGATTCAGCCAGTGTAAGCAGTGGAACCACCAGCAGTGCCAGCGCTCACCTGGATCAGCCGTCTCGCCCGCAGCAGAGTGACTTCAAAGAATCCAACATCATCAGTGACGAGGACAATGAGACCAATGACCAGCAGTGGCAAGACTGTCCCAGTGCAATCGAGGCCCAGTTCTGCAGGCTTCGGCTGACCGAGGAGTCCTCCCAGGCATCTGCTCCCCATGTGCAGTCAGAGAGCGAAGAAGTGGACACTCCAGAAAGGCAGTCTGCTATAAAGAGAGCTCACTTCAGCGCGCTAAAACGCAAGCCTGGCAGAGGCACGAGTAGCCTCAGACACAGCCAGGTGGCCCTACTGAACATGCGTCGACATAGCCACACTTTGGACATGCAGACAGAGACAATGGCAAATAGCGTGGACCTTAACTCGCTACTGGAGAAGGAGTTCAGTGTGCAAAGCCTGACCTCTGTTGTCAATGAGGACTTCTTCTATGACAGCACCGCGGAAGCAAAAAACGGGGCTACTTCATAATGTCTATCACCTGGCCACCAGAACAAAGCTTAGCATGGCTTCAGAGCCTATATGTTTGACCTGGTGTTGAGCCACATTATCCCATGCAGCCTTTCTAAAGTTATTAGCCAATTCAGGGAAGCAACTGAGGCCAGACAATTCATTTTCACCTTTTCTGGAACCACAGTTTGACAGACCTTCATTCAAAATGGTGTTAAGCGTTTCATAATTCTCCATGATCCATAGCACTAATTCACTGAACTGGCCACATAGCAACTGTTTGCACCAGAGAACCAAATTACCTGCCTTTACTCTTCTTACATGACATCCTGATGCAAAACTAAGACCACTCTGCTCTCCCACACAAACATACAATGAACTATCCAACTACAAGAACCGAATTCTGTCAGGTTTTTCATTTTGCCTTGTGCTTTGGACACTACATATGCTTATTGCTTTAAATTGAAGCATTGCTTATCTTTGTCATGGGTTTGCTTTGTATAAAACATTTTATTTATTAGCAGGTTTCTTTTTAAAAAATTTTAATAGGAATCCAAAATGGGTTAAGACTTTGGCAGGAGATCTTAACAGACAAACTATCCATACCCAGGGTTTAATTTGTGCCGGAACAAGTCGGATCCAGATCCAGCACCTCATTTGGCGGATTCCCCTCCTCACACGCCAGTGAAAGAAGCTGGTGCATGTATAATAATGGTTATGTCAATATCTTTGTCCCCTTTAAATGTAAAATGATAATAAATAAAAGTAAGACATTAATTATGTGTGTTATCCATGCCAGGTTTTGGGGGGTTTATTTCCACGGCAATAAACTACTGCTGTAATTGGTGGATACTGATTTGTTTGTGCTTGTGTGTGAGGGGAGGGGAAGCTTCATGCTTAATTGGAAATGTGGAACAATAGCGAATTCTCTTTTATTTCTTTGTTTACAAAAAATACTAGCTTTTTACTTCATAAACAGAATTAAATCCTCAAAATTTAAAATATTCCACACAAACACAGGTTTACAGGATAATTGCCTTTATTTTCGTTAAATACATTTCTTAATACAATATATTTTAGCATTTAAATAAAAATAAAAAAATATGTACGCTATTTCTTACCTTTAAACTCGTTTAACAAGCATTTTAGAAGTAAAAATGAATCATTTAATCGTCACGAAAAGACCGATGCGATTCGTTCAGGTGACTGACATCGCTGTTTTGTATAAAATAAAATTATTTACAGCAAAAAAAAAAACTTTTATAGATTACATAAAACATACACAAACCTATATTTTACGAAAGAAATGCAAGTCGGCAGCACTGAGAACCACTCTCACCTGGGGCCTCATTTATCAAATGTGCGTACGCACAGATTTGATCTTGGAGTGTGCGTACGCTAAAATCCACGACAACGTTCATATTTATAAAAGCGGTCTTTGACGTGGAAAAGTACTTTACCGTCAGGTCAGGGTCTGAGCAGGCGTACGCACTTTTCCTTGTGGCAAAGTCAGAGTACTGCTGCTATTTGAACATCTAAGCTGCAATAATAATAAAAGCGTGTACGTGCAAGCACCGAATTCATCATAAAGTTTCTGTGAGATTAAACGGACCTTTTTAGTAGCCTAATGTTGAGAGTTCTTTTCTCGCTTTCTGTACAGTTTATTCCATGTTGTTTTTATTATTTTATTTTACAAGAGAACTTGCGAAGTCTTGATTTACTACTAAAGCGTAAAATAGAAAAAAAATGCATAAACGAATCTCTGACTGTTTTGTCTGTGTAGCCTATAAGAATAGTCCTATGTCGTGCAATAACAGTTTTAATATATTCTATTCAATAACATTAACTGTTTTTATTTATAACATCTGCTGCTTTGCTTCTGTGAAAATGAATAGAGACGTCAGCCTTAAACTTTGTTTTTGTCATTTTAGTAAATCAGTTATATTTGTATAAAATACACTATATATTTTTATGTCAGTACATTAATGGCACATTTGAGCAGAATTAGTATACTGTAAATATAAATAAATGCCAAATCACACGCAGGCTTTTCAGACTGGAGACCATAATCGTGTAATAATTTATTTTATTATATGAAACGTCCAATTTTTTAAGTTTTGCAAGAATTTCATGATACTAAACTTTTTATTAGTTGTCATAGCAAGTGACTTTAAAAGTAGGATGGCTCACTTTTTATAAGATGACTACATTTTACTTGAATTCGTAGTTTATTCTTACTTTTGGAAATCTAATTGTTTTATAATTACTATTATTATTATTATTATTTCTGTTGTTTCTAGAGGTAGTAATTTTGATTATATTCAATAGTAAAAATATAACCACGCACACATTGTTTGTCCACAGAATAATTACACATTATTAAATAAAAAGCGTCCCAGCACGAACCTCTACCTCCGCAAGCAGGACCTCAATTTCAGACTCAGTAGTTTTTTTTTTCTTTGTGCTCTTCATTCTCAAGAATAGAAAATCGGATATTGGCGTGTGCTCTTTTATATGGTAATGCTATTAATTAGGGGGCGTGTACATGGCGGAGATCTGACGCCAGTCAATTTCAAGATCATTTGCAATTTATAAATGTCACATCTGGAAAAGAGACGTACGCACGTGTTTTTGTGCGCATGTTCGTTTTCTCTGAATCGCACTTACACACTTTTGCGAAATGATCTTAGAACAAGTTTAGGACGGTTTATACACATTTTATAAATGAGGCCCCTGAAGAGGATGCAAAATATCCGCACTCATTACAACCGCTGGGTTGTTGTGACTGTCCTGTCCCAGGAATTGGGTTACACAAGAACCTCCCAAACACTAAAAACAGTTTGGGTTGAAATAAAATAACCCGAGTACTTTTAGTTTTAGAGCACACTATAAAAGCAACTGATGCAAGCTGTTAATCACTTAAGTTGGTCCACCAATGCTCCGTTACCTCTCCCTCCTCTGATAACTTGCCGGGTTGGTCACCCTGCTTTGTTCCGGGACCTCGCAATTTACAAATTAAGCACTGCCCATACCTTTGTTACAAAATCATGGCCAGCTGAAACCATTCATTCAGGAATTGATATGTGCTACCTCTGAAATAAAGTCTGCAGCCTTTTTTTTTTAGAATGTTTAAATGTGTAAATAGTATTTTTTCACGAGTCACTGTAACTTAATTTTAAGAGTTTATATACTTTTGACACTTCACAGCCCAAAACTGTAATAAAAAGGTGTCTGATTACATTGAATAATTTTTTGTCCTAATGATTTCCTGTTTTTGCAAAAAGCAGCAAACAATATTTTTGATAAAAACAAAGGAGTAAAATGCACACATTAAGTGACAATTGAATCACGCATTCAGCATTCGAATTGAACATTATGAAGAAAAGAGCAAAGTCTTAGGGACACAAAGAACACAAATCTCATTAGCACACATTACAGTTTTAAAAAAATGCTTACAAAGTTTTTTAAACTATATGGTTCAATTTCTCAAAACTCTACACACAAAACACACACACAAAATGCAAAACATCACATGAATCTTGCTAAAGCAAAATTAACTCTTCTAAAAACAAATTCACAGTAACTACACACAAACATACGATAATTAGCCACATACACGCCGAATTACACACAAAAAATGTAAAACACTACTCTCATGTGTCTTTTGCATGTTCAGATTGCAGTGGAGCACAGGAGTTTGTCATAGCACTCGCACATACAGTACATGCATATGCACATATACACTGTATAAACAGTATGTATGTACAACTGATTAATTGTCATAACTCATTGCAACTGAACTGAATCAATACTGAAATTACCTATATATGTACTGTACGTACATACACACACACACATGTATATATATATATATATATATATATATATATATATACACACACACACGTATATATATTCATATATATATACATATACACAATGTAAACCAAAATGAAAGGGGGTAAATATTTCTCAAAACACTGAGTTTTGATTTCTAAGTGAACAAATTATGTATGTATTTTCACACATGATCACTGCGTGTAGGTCATCAGTAAATGAGTGTGTCATTTAAGTGGCAGTGCTTCCCTAATGAAACAAAAGAGCTGTTAGTTTTGTATGTGTGTAATGTAGAGAACTGTGTTTAGAGTCTTGCAAAAAGTTTGTTTTACAATAGCAAACTGAGTTTAAAGCACGTAATGTGCTTATAGTTTTGTTGACTTGGTCTAAAGATTAGGTATATGAGTGAATGGTTTCACTGAGTGGGCCTAAAGCACCACTTTTAGTGTCTAAGCAACTGTAAAAAGGCTAAGAAAAATAATTTTTTCATCAGTCAAATTATTTTTTTCTCTGACAGATGGTTGTCAGCCTCTAGCTGTAAATTGCATTCCCATAGCTGCTTTATGATGTGGACAGGTTTCCTGGACAACCCCCTCTCTTCCCCAGTTCAATATAGAAAGGGAGACTGGAACTGGAACTGATTAATTTAATTTTCCTTCCTACCTACAAAGCAGCTTTATGTGATAATTCACAGTGCTCTTAAACTATATCTCCCATAACTTTATTTGAATCCCCTTGCATTTCCTAAAAGCTTTTCTTTTTAGCTGAAAATTTTTTTTTATGATAACTGATTAAACTGTCACCATTAAGAGTCTGCTGTCTGCAGCGTTAGTGCTTGTCGTTAACATTTTCCTCTATTGTGGTGTGAAGGTGAAGCCCTTTACGGTTGCTGCCCAACTCTCTCATTGCCTGATGCCTGAGTTTCAGTTCCTCTCTGAAGTAATAGTCAATGAGGCCTTGGTTCTCCTTGCAAAGCTTACTGTAGGCATCTGCTAAAGCCCTGAATTCAGAAATAGAGTTCTCTGTGGGCCGCAGTGTGGAATCCACATCAGCACTGCGCAGCAACTCTTCTGTCAATTCTTGACGCTGAGACTCTGGGAATAGCATCCTGCAGCAAAGGAAAAAAACAGTCATCACACGCCGACACAATGAGTTAACGTAGAAAACTTGAGAAGTGGCATGGAAGTGACGTTATATGGTCTGTGCGGATGTTCGCTTAACGCTTGTCAAACTAGAAAAGAGTTCACATAGTTGATGTTGATGTTGCTGCTGAAATTACAGATGTTCTCCCTCACATTCCCTTCAGTGGCGAGCTCCTTCCCAACTTCCAGCTTCTGAAGGGCCAACTAGCTGCAGCATTGAGCTCCAACCTGCCCCAACACACCTGCCTGGAGGTTTCTAGTAATCCTGAACACCTTGATTCGCTTCTGATTCAGCTGTGTTTAATTAGGATCGGAGCTGAACTTTGAAGGACAGTGGCCTTTCAGAAGAGAGACTGGACATCCCTGAAAAGTATGTATTTAATGTTTTGCTGGATGAACACTCAACACTGTACTTCATATCTCTGTATCTACCCTGACTAAAATCCAGTGCTTAGTTAGGATGAAACACTGAGTATAGAGGTAAAGAGATAGGAGTTTTGAAAAGTAGCTTACAGAATGCCAGGGAAATCCTTACTCAAGTCCTCTGCGGCAGTGCTTCCTCCGGAACTGGAAGGCATTTTTGACAATCCTCTCGACCAGCTTGAAGGGATGCTGGATCTGGGGCTGAGCCAGCGGTGTGAAGTGCACCACCCTCACATCCACCTACGCACACCGCGGGGTGACGAGATGAAAACACACACAGTGTTACAGTCAGACCTGGAGACCATTTTCACAAGCTACTCCCACTAGAGTGAGGGGGAGAATCGGAATGGAAACTAGCTCAAGAGGGATATACGAGTGAAGAAAAGCAGAGGGTTGGGAGAGGAGGAGGTGGGTGACGCTGCACGAAGAAAAGCCAGTTCCGGTTGCTACAGTAACACCTGTTTGAAGGACCATCAAAACAAGTCTCTTCAAATGTGAATAGTAAGTCTCTTGTTACACTGTTGTTTCCTAAATGTTCTTAATAGCCACCGTCTAGTGATGATGTAGGGGATGCTTCAGCTTCTATCTCCCCTGGTTCGCTGATCAGCAGTAAAGGACAGTGCATCTTTTCATTATGCAAAATCGGCACAGACATCTGCTGTGCCCAAGCTAAAACCGGTTTCTCTAGTGTAATTGTA